GTTTAGCTACTCGGGGACCCCAAACAGGTCCTCAAAAACGGGTTCCAGCTTGCACCAAAGGACAATCATGTAGCATCCTAGAACCCATTTCTTAGAGCCCGTTCGACTGGTCACCCGTTAGTTACTTTGTTGCGCACGGCAGGTTGCAGCTATTAAGGCGGGCCTTCTCTTCACTCCCCAGCAGCTGGAAGAGGCGGGCGCTCAAACGCGACCCGGGTGTTCGTTTTCCTGGCCACTTTGATAGAAACAAAGAAGTTGCTAGTTGCAAAAACAGGCGTTAAGCTCTCAAGCTGCAGATTTGCGAGCGTGAACGTGTTTTCGTTCAGGAACCCTGGTCATGTGCGTTGGAATCGATTTGCGGGCCATATGTTGGAGTCTAGCGCGTCGGGCGGGGCGCTTGGTGGTGCAGGATATATTTTTTTTAAAGAAGTAAAACTCCCAGAAGCGTATGTTGCTTTTCTTCGGGGAGTTTTTCAGTTTTTTCCCCCCACTAAAAGCAAAATAGTAAACTGTGACTTTTGGACCCATGAACAGTAGCCAGTGAAACTGCCAAACATAAAGCTGGTTTTGCTTCAGAGAGTGTTTACTGTTTACTTTTCGTCAGGAACAACAAACAAGTAAAGCTTATTTTGTGTTGAAACTTCTGGCATTTTTACTTCATTACGTTTCCCCAACAAAAGTAAACATAAAGAACTAGTTGGACCCTGATAAGCCAAATGGAAGACTGCCTGAAGTTAAAGACATACTTTTGGGAGTGTTCTTTCTTACTTTTACTGGGGAAAACTATGCAAGTAACACATCCTGAAGTAACAACACAATTTTGATTTTGGGAGTTTTGCTTTTTACTTTCAATGGGACTAGACGCTTCACTTTCTTACTTTTTGCTTTTCCCCACTAGAAACAACAATGTAAAAGTAAAACGTTTGGACCCATGACAAGTAACAAGTAAAGCTGGCTGAAGTAAAACAGGGTTTTTGCGCTTGGGAGTTGCTTTACTTTTACTGAGGGGGACATGTATGCATGGGTCAATAAATAGTGACGCCAGCTTCTGCAGTGCCCTTGGTTTATTCAACCTTGCCGGCGGACCTTCGATCAAACACAGCCGCGATGGATGTCCCAGGTGGGACACGGTAGCTCGACATTGGTAGCGGAGCAGGCCACCGGGTAACGCGTCGAGAATAGTCAAGCCATGGGTGGCTCAGAGGACCGAGCCTTGCGATTCAACGGCGATCCGGAAGCAGGGCGGCGGCAAAGCTCTTCGCCATGAAGGACTTGGGGCCAGAGCCCTCAACCTGGAGGAGCTGGCAGTGAAGGAGCAAAGAAGCTTTGGGCACTTCCCAGGCGACGATCCACACGCCCACGCATGTTTTCTCGCATGCGTTCATGCTTTCTTCGTCTTATTTGCGCGCAAACTGTCTGCATATGCTGCTTTTCGAGTGCGCTATTTGATCTTCTAAGGCTATCTGCTGGCGCTATCTTATCTTCTGACTCTATCTCTTTACGCAAGCTACCTTTCAAGTAGTTTCCGTACTAAGGAAGTTCCTTCTAAGCTTCCTTTCATGATGTGCTTTGATGTAGCCTGTAGCTACATGGTGGTTTCCTAAGATTTGGCACATCAAAGTGGTTCAAGAGGCTCTTTTTAGTTTCCTACAATGGGTCCATGCTGGTATCAATCCATCAATGTAGATACAAATTTATTTCGAGCTGTACCCCCTTTTTGGGCTCTCACTCAGTCAGTGGATTCACTTTACAAATTTCTTTTGGGTAGCTCCCCCTTTATTTTAGCGAGTTTCAAAAAGGCCCACGGGCGGAGCGGACTCCCCCCCCCCCGGTAAGGGCCTCTGTCCCAGAGGGGTGTGGAAGACTGGAGCCTGCCCGTTTTTTCTCAGTTGAGGACCCAAAACCCAAAACGAAACCTGAGAGGCGTTCCACTATCCCCAGTTGAAAAAGATGAAATAGAACCATGACACATGTAACTACATGTCTTTTCCTTTCCTTTGAAAAGGCCTCGTGGGCCTTGCTGGTGGAACACCTCTTAGGTTTTTCGAGCCCTTCTTGGGCGCCTTTTTCCCCTGGCCCACGTGGCCCGCGCAGAGCACCGGACCGGGTTCGGGCAAAACAAGCAGAGTCCAGGGACTGATGAGGGTGGAGCAGCGCGTTGAGCACGAGCTGCTGCAGAAGAGTGGTAGCGAGCGCAATGGACACGGATGGTTTGTCGAGAAGACTCAACGTCAAGAAGCTGATAAAGATCAGCGTGGTGGCGGAGTGGATTGACTATGAAGCTGCGCCATGGGCCAGCTACTTGAAGCAAGCCACCAAGTTCAATCGCAACTAGAATGTTGTGGGAATGCGACAGCTTGGAGTCAGGCGTGGTTGCTTGGGGTATTGTGCAACCTCTGCGACGCGCGCTTGGGTTTGTTCCACGCTTTGGATGTCCAGCCTGACGCAACAGTCCACCAGTTCTAGATTAGACCGTCAGGTGCACATTTTGATCCATGTTGCGGCGACCCGTGGAACTTCTGCTGTTCTTTTCTCCAAAAAACAGCCCACGCCGGGCGCCGGAAAAGGAACCACCCAGACCTGTTCGCCAGGTGAGCAGCCGGCTGCCTTTGCCCGCGCCGATGGACCAGGAGCAGAAACTGGCCATACGAACCAAGGAGGTTTGAGTCCAGTTTGCCAGGATTCCTGAATGGGACTCCCGCAATGGGTGTGGAAACTGCGGTTTCGGATGTGGAACTCAGTACAGTTTTGATTCCCAGCGGTTTTGCAAAACTTGTTTCCGAATGGGATGTGGAACTCCCGCCATGGGGGGGAAGCCCTTTGGCTTCCCTTTAGACCCACTCCAAAATGGCAACCGGCGAGAAGAAGAGACCGAGATGAGATTTTGGAAGCGCTCCCCACACAAAGCATGGGTTGTAGTGACGTGGGCCTCGGCGAGCTTGCTGATGGTTCTGTAGCGGGGATTCGCATATTTCCGGTTTTTAAAGTGAAGCACCCATTGTACGGGGCAGTTGTGCGCTTGACAATTTTGAGAAGGCCCTGTTGCACTCCCAAGGTTCAGACTTTTTGCAGGTACGTGATGTGCATTAAACACATGCTGTCACATTCCAGAAAAGGATCTGACCAACTCCAACTTCTTGATTGATCCGGCTTTGGGGCATGGCGATTTGCTCGCAGGAAGCCCTGGTCGCGGGGCACCCAGCTTTCAGCATGCCACTTCTCGTTGAATGCCCATCTTTGCACTTCAGATCAGCAATGTTTGAACTGAACAGTTGGTGCGACATAAGATGCTGTCTCAAGGACCCCCTGGGTTCGTGCAGTGCTCTCCCACCAAGATGGAAGCCGGCAACGGCCTGCGCACTTCCACCATGTAGGGAGCCCCTTGAAAATGGCACCTTAAAAGGGTACTCCTTCAAACACAACCGAAACAAGGGGTTGCCTTTTCTTCCCTTTGACAAACGGTGGGACTCCGCACAAAATCGAGGCCTGGCTGCTCGCACTGGTTCCGAGCGCCAAGATCCGGGACGCCCGGCGGGCGTTGGTGCAGAAGTGCGCCCGACTTTTCGCTGGTCGGAGGTCTCGTGGTTCATCCCGTGGTTTTTGGACAGCTTCTAGGTCCCGCAGTAGTGCCCTTTTACCCTTTTGTTGGGGAGGGTTCCCCTACTAAAATAGACTACAGAAGACGGGGTACCCTTATTCTAACCTCTCTACTGGAACCTAGACTTGGTAGGACCGATGTTTAGTCCTGAAATAAAGTCTTGGGATGGCTCTGGTATCCATTCAAGTAATTACTAACAGATTCTCATGCCTAGGAAGAAATCTCACATTATCATTCATTCCATCTCTTAGTCATATCTTGTCTCTAAGATAGACGGTAATACCTTGGAAGATGAATGCCTTTTCTTTTCTCTTCACATTGTGTTTTTATTAGAAGTGATTCCTTAAGCACTGGGCCTTTGGTATGAGGGTGATGGTTCATTTTGGCTATTCTCTGGGAATCCATGGTTTGGGGAATGAATCAACGGGTCCCCTGTAAGGCAACTGGGATGGTCCAGAGTGATTTCCTTTGAGAGTTTCTGGGGGGCAGGAGGAGTATGGAAGCCAGCAGCTCGGGCGGTTTGCGCTTATCCTACAAAACTAGGGAGGGAGTGGGGTGGGTGGATTTGGGGGGGGAGGGGGGGAGCAGTCTGATGAGTCCAGCTATTGATCTCAGGGCTATCATGGTCGAACATTCTTTCAAAAGCCAGTCTTTTCCCGTGGGGGTTGGATGGTTCTTAGGAAAGAGTGGTACAGTTGCCGGTTCGGCTAAGTGCCGATTTGCATCCCGGGTGGACCTCGTGGAGAGAGTGCGCGATGTGACGAATCTGGCTCAAAGAGGAAGGCGGCAAGACCAACCGTCTTGCTGTAGCCTGTGAAAGATGAGCGAGGTAGTTTCTTAAGTGTTTGCAATTTCATTGACCCTGTTGATTCGGATTTCCAACATGCGCATCTGTCCGACAATTTGTGCTTCGCATTTTGTGTGTTTTTTCCGCGTTTGCTCGGCTGTCCTCGTCCTGTCCTTTCCGGCCGAAGCCCAGAATGGATATGGCGCATGAAGAGGAGGAGTTCGGTGACACTTCCGAGGAGGAGGCACTGTTCGGTGCAATGAACCGGCGAGGGATGACCTAAACCAGAAAGGATGGTTCATAGGGGTCATTTCCTCATTCCCTGCCTATCGAACCAGCAAGACATGCCAACCCACCTTTAGGTGAATAGGTCAACGCAGGGTCCATGGTAGGCCGAAAACATGGCTTCCACTCTCAGAATTCCAAGTCTCTTCAGATATGGTTTGCCTTGTTTCGTGTTTGAGGGTACTCATTTAGAAGGGACCAAAGGGTCTGAGCGAGGGAAGTTTTTCACTTTTAAAGAACCCGTCCGCATTGCCCCCAACCCGCCTGCTCAAAGCCTGATTTGATCCAGCTCGGAGGGCTTCAGTGTTTGGTCTCGTTTCGGCATGTTCGATGAGAGCCGCCAGTTAGGGGGGCCTGAAATTCAAGAGGCATAAATGGTACGCTCCAGCAGTGTACCAGCGCAACTTGATAAAGATGGAATTGGGTGCCCTGCACGAGTCAATCAATCTATGGCACCTAGCACCAGTTACCTCATATTTCATGTACCTTCTACCAAAGCCGGACCCAAATGGCCATGGGTCAAAAGCCCGTGCCCCCAGTAAACATCCCAATCCCCACTAAAATAGGTTCTAAAATGGGTGGTGAATTCACCTACCCCAAAATGGGATCCCATTGGTTGCGACCAACAGCCATGTACCTTCCACCAAAGCCGGACCCAAATGGAAGGCCCAGGGACCCCCCGGTCCACCGACACATTCGCCTCGAGTCGCAGGGCGAGGGCCCGGCAGCGGGGTACTCCACGCTGGCGGTGGAGGGCGCCAAGGAGTCCGCGGGGAGCGTGGGTCACCCGGACGGCTGCGCCTCGGTTGGGAGGGGTCCCCGGGTCCCCGGGTGGGGCGGGAGGCTGGGGGGAGGGGCGGATGGGGCAGCATCCATCTGCTTAAGAACATGTGTTTTTTTTTTCCTTGCTGGTTTTAAAGGGAATCGATTTCACTACTGGACATATTTGTATTTTTTTCCAGGGGGCTTAAGCAAATGGATATGGCAGAGGGTCCCGGGCGGTGGCATCCGGGGAGTTGGCGGGATGGACGTGTAGGGCCGTAGGAGGGTGTGGCCTGTTTTTAGCGGCCAAGCTTCAGCCGGGCTGGGGTGGGGGGACCTTTGTGCTTAGTTCTTCGAGCTGACCTGGGTGAAGGGGGCTGGGACTCCGCACATTGACTCCAGTGGAATCTCCTTTCCGAGGACCTGCTTGGAACCATATGGCTTCGGTTTCCGGCTCGGTGATCCCGGCGGATGATTTTCCTTTTAAATAGTTCCCTAGGGAAACGAGCCGTGGTGTGTAATATACGATGAGGTCCACTGTTTTGAGACCAATCCTTGAAATGACGCCGAGTGTTGAATGGCTGGCCTCCCACCAAAGAAGCCCTTGTCATGCCATGAGTATAGGGGTACCCTCCCACCAGCTAACATGGAAGTGCACAGACCCTGTAGAAAGACTACTTTCCTCTCGGAAAGGGCCTTAAGTTGGTGGGAGGGTAAGTCTTGAGGATTAAGGGGTCCATTGACAAGGGCACATTTGATATTTGCCAGAATGGAGATCTTGAAGATGAGCGGACTAGACACCGAGGCACTCCATCTGAGTAGGGTTCTGCGATTGACGGTCACTGTTCTCTTTTGGCCAGGGCGCAGGGCTACGATGCTGGACATTTGGAGTTTCCTGTGGCTTGAGCGTTGAAGCCTTTGCAGTCTTTGAGAGTGTTTTTGTCAGGCAAGCACTGCTTCTTTTGGTATGCCCAGTCACAACACTGAAATCAGTACCGAGTGAAACCGATTCATGGCCAAGCCAACAACACAGAAGCTCTAAAGTTCCGCCCACTCAGCTTGCTGGTCAGCTTCAAGGGCATGCGTCACCAGAGGAAACTCCACTTAGGGACCAATATGTCATCCTGCCGACCCATTGTTTCTTCTTCTTTTTTGTTCTCCTGTTCATTGTGATCGAACTGTTGTATGCCGTGTTTGAATTTAGAAGCAACACCGCATTCGTTGCTTTTTTTTCTCCCGGAATCGCCCGCAGCGAGTCTCATTTTTCTCCGTCACGAGGCACCCCCTGCACCTTCTACTGCTTCACCCGCCGTGGCTGCAATCGGGGCGCGGGGTGCAAGCTCCGCGGCAGGGAGTTGGCGCTGGGCTGGCCGGCAGGGGGCGGTTTTTGGGGGCGGCGAGCACGGGACGCAGTCGAACCAGTTGAGTTGCACCCTCCAAAAAGAGGACACCTCCAGAATTGGTCACTGGGCAACTGGGTCGAAGAGTCCAATCCGTGACAACGAAAACTCATTGGATTTTTTTTCAAAGGGTGCCCTCTGCTTTGGGCGTAGTTCATCCCAGGTTCTGCCACATGACGCACCAGTCCAAGCTCCAGCAACGCCCGGGGCCCAGATGCGGCGGTTGTTTGGGGTGACACCAGCTGTTTCCGAATCAACAAAAGCGCAACTTTCGACGGGCAACAAACTTTGTGTCGCCTCGCACGGTGCCAGCCCAATGTGCCATGGTCAAAGGACTTGCATGGCAACCCCAAAGGAGCACACGGTGTGACATATCCACGTTTTGGCTACTCTTCAAAAAGACACATGCACCACGTTTTACTGGTTCTGGGGCCTGTACCAGAGGGCATCAACCCTCCCTTGCAGTACATTTCTGTCGGACCATGCCCCGCCTTGACCAACCTTTGGCTTGACCATGGACCAAATGGGTCTTGAGATGCCGCGATCAACTGTATGTCAGCTTTGCTGGAAGGGCTTTCGGCTTTTTTTCCACAACTTGTTTCTCTTCTGCGGCCTGGCGACCAAGCTTCCCTGGCGCTCTGCTCTCTGGCTAAACACAGAAACGGAAGCCCGAGGACGGGAAGCTTGAATTGAGCACCATCTGGAATTAAACCACCAGGGGACCGCAGGTTGTAGTCCAAGTTTCCATTTACCAGGGTTCCATGTTGGGCAGCCATCTAAGTCCCTTTTTGTTCAATATCTTTCCGACTGCAAGGAGTGCTTTGCGGCTTCGCACACTGAGGGCGTGAGGCCTGGAAGAAGCAGCAGCGCGAGAAGCGCAAGCTCATGCGGGGCTTCGCTCACAAGGCCGGGCTTCTGCCCAGCTATCCAGTACCCTTGTTGCCGAAGGAGGAATTTGCCTTTGGACGCAACTAGGGGGCCGTCTTTCTTTTGTGGCCACTTGTCTTGGGTTAGAGCCTCCCTTCTGCAGGTTTGTTGACCCAAACTGAATAGGGGCGGCAAGGAAAGCATTTGTAAGATATCTTCTGCAGGGGGGTTCTTAGCAGACCAGGTGGGGCGCATTGGGTTTTGGGTTGGGAAGTGAGAGTGTGGCATTTAACCCCAGCACAGCATTGAGGCCAGCCTAGTAGGCCAAACAGCCTTCGCGCGCGACCATTCCTGGGGTTTGGGAATCGTAACGTGGGATCGGACAAGCGCGAGGCGCGACTGCATGTCATATACTGCCACAACTTACCGAATTCGGTGGCTTCAGACAAATTGGTGTAGAGGGCCTTCTCTCCCACGTGTGCGAAGTCAGCATCCCTTGAACTGGTGGGGAGGGTGTAAGGATGCCAGCACGGGCCTTAACCACGCCAAGAAACTGCAACCCTGTGATTAAAACGTTGGTTACCACGACAATTTCTTATTTTCACCCCACGACAAAAAAAACACCGACTGCCCGACAGTCTTCTTTCCTCTTCCCCTAGTCTTCTTTCCTCTTCCCCTAGTCTTCTTTCCTCTTCCCCTAGTCTTCTTTCCTCTTCCCCTAGTCTTCTTTCCTCTTCCCCTAGTCTTCTTTCCTCTTCCCCTAGTCTTCTTTCCTCTTCCCCTAGTCTTCTTTCCTCTTCCCCTAGTCCCCCTAGTCTTCTTTCCTCTTCCCCTAGTCCCCCTAGTCTTCTTTCCTCTTCCCCTAGTCCCCCTAGTCTTCTTTCCTCTTCCCCTAGTCCCCCTAGTCTTCTTTCCTCTTCCCCTAGTCTTCTTTCCTCTTCCCCTAGTCCCCCTAGTCTTCTTTCCTCTTCCCCTAGTCCCCCTAGTCTTCTTTCCTCTTCCCCTAGTCTTCTTTCCTCTTCCCGTAGTCTTAGTCTTCTTTCCTCTTCCCCTAGTCTTCTTTCCTCTTCCCGTAGTCTTAGTCTTCTTTCCTCTTCCCCTAGTCTTCTTTCCGCTTTCCTCTTCCCCTAGTCTTCTTTCCGCTTTCCTCTTCCCCTATTCTTCTTTCCGCTTTCCTCTTCCCCTAGTTTTGTTTCCTCTTCCCCTAGTCTTCTTTCCTCTTCCCGTAGTCTTAGTCTTCTTTCCTCTTCCCCTAGTCTTCTTTCCTCTTCCCGTAGTCTTAGTCTTCTTTCCTCTTCCCCTAGTCTTCTTTCCTCTTCCCCTAGTCTTCCTTCCTCTTCCCCTAGTCTTCTTTCCGCTTTCCTCTTCCCCTAGTTTTGTTTCCTCTTCCCCTAGTCTTCTTTCCTCTTCCCCTAGTCTTCTTTCTTTTTCCCGTAGTCTTCTCTTCCCGTAGTCTTCTTTCCTCTTCCCCTGGTCTTCTTTCCTCTTCCCCTAGTCTTCTTTCCGCTTTCCTCTTCCCCTAGTCTTCTTTCCTCTTCCCCTAGTTTTCTTTCCTCTTC